GTTATTATTATGAAGACTATCTTGAGAAAAATAAATAAATATAAGAGACAAAACAGATTAAATATAATATTTAAGACTAAAATAAAAATAAAATAAGTTTTTATATTAAAGATTGGGCGTAGTACTAATCTGAAAAATATGCACATGTTACGTAAACTAATGGGAACACTTCATAGCAGCCTAAAGAATCATCCGTAATTTTCGTTCCCTCGATTTACAGAAACAGGCATTTGCTCAAATGTAAAAAATTATTTAATTATCGCACCCTTGCATGATATATTATTAAAATGCATTACACGTTCATCTTCTGGTTTTATCGCTTATTAAAATCCACATTCTAACTAAAATATTACTCTTTCTATCTTAAATATAAAATCTATTTTATAGTACAATTTATACAACAAAATATGTCTTACACTTAAGACAGGAGGAGTATTAATTTTTTTAATCCTCCAATCTTACAATGCAAATCCGGATAATTATTTATATAGATTAAAAAAATAGTTAAATTAGTTATTTGTAATAAATATATATTAATTTTTAAAAAATATTTATTTAATAATTTGCATCGGTAACTGCCCAAAAGAAAAGCCCCTTTAAGAAGTGCAATTAATTAATAAGAATAATGTGGAGAACAATTATAAATTTAAAAGACAAATTGAATCAAAGTCTTATATTTAAGGACAAAACAACATATCCACTATTTTTATATTTACAATCCAAATAATTTTATTTATTAAAATATTCAATCCGAGACTCCGAGTTATTATCTTTGATCGTTAATATGAGATTTAGTTAACTAATTTGAGAAGATTAAAGATGTTACTAAATTACTTATTTACAATGTATGCTGCATATCTTTCTAAAACACTTATATCAATATATAAGTAAGTTAAATTACTTTAGAGAAAAATAATAAATATAAATATTTTAAAATAATTTAGTAACTTTCTTAATATATCTAAATTAGTTAATTAGGTCTTATATTAAGGGCTAAAAAATAGTATTTTAAATCTAAGATACTCTTTTTGACTCCATGTGGCATGCAGATGAATGTAGATAAACATCATATAAGGAAACCCTTTTTGATTTTGCACGTTACTGACCATTCTCACAACATTGTGGAAAATCTTTTAGTAATGATCCTACGTTAAATCTTATCTTTGGTTTACTGGAAAGCAAAGAATTGGCACAAAAAGACACACAGGAATCTGTGTGGAATCAATCGTCTAAGAGCATTTGGAGGGAAGATTGTCGAAAAGTCCACATCATATTTTCGCTGTATTAGTTTTGCTCCAACGCAGTGACCAAAATTATTTGAGCATTATTGGATTCATCTATTGTTCTTTCAACCAGTAACCTCATCCATGCATCCTTATCATGCACACGTATGCTTGAGTGCTAAAATTACAATAATTGAACCCTGTCTAACACAATCCTGTTCAATGATTTGGTCATCTTACTTCGTGAAGTATGAAGTATGAATGAAACATAGATGAGGAAATATATGACCATAAAATATTTTGAGTTATGATACTGTAAGATTTATATATATGTATATTCCGTTGGTGGTTGGCAGGGACAGTCTTGAGGTAGGTCATCCGCTCAAGTTATGGAAGCAACCTCTTGCAAACCAACAACAACAATAGCCACAAAAAAGGGTTAAGCCTAATAGAATAAGTTAGTCTCTCACATCATGACAAACCAAAGTTCTAATTCTCATTAAAAGAGATATTTATATTTAGTGCTTGACAGTATTTCAAATAAGATTACTTTCAATAGGAAGAAATCTTAGTGTAGCCTAAAAAAAAAAAATAATAGACTTATTCCACTCCATAAGATTGACTACATAGATTGTACATCATGGGATTATGCTTTATCAATCCAAAGTGAATCTGACCCCCTTGCAAAAGTGCAGGGTACAACTGTGCACAATAATGGAGTGCTTTAAAAATGTCAAATGTTTTCTTCCTCATCTTTTATTCTCAACTTAAAATCACTTTTTTTTTAATACAATCGTCATTTTCCGGAGTCGTGTTTTATCATTTCTAGCATAGTTAAATTTGTCAATAAGAAAATCTTATTTTATATAGGCAAGGATGGACCAACAATTACGAGCACCTTAAATGGTCAAACCTTGTGCATCATAGTGGTGCCTCATTGGATGGTCATGCAGGGATGTAGACCTCATATTCATATTTATCCCACTAAGTGTGGTCCAATATATAAATTATATGATGTTATTATGTTCTATCAATTCAAAATGAATCCAACTCTCTTGCTAAAATGCACGGCAAAACTGCGCACAATAGAGAGAGTGGGTCCAACCCTCCTCCCAGGAGCTTTGTGCAACGGGTTGTTCCCCATATACCAATGATGAATGTGCCTAATAGAAGAGACTTGATACCCATGAGGTCTTGAACGTAGGGAGCGGAGAAGAACAAAATTTTAAGCCTGATAATACGGTGACTTTCAATTAGTACTCATCTTTTTTATTAGTGTCAAATTTTTTGAATGTCTTTGGTTCTTTTTATAAATTATGCTGCCATGTGGATGTCTCAACATTTAGTACATTTTTAAATAAGGACTCCAGGGAGTAGTCACCAAATACTCTTCTTGTTCTTAATATAGGATCTAATTGTAAAGCTAATTTTAATTCCAAATGTAAGATCTATTTCTCATATTTATCAATTTTTCCTAAATTATCTCTATAGATACTCCCTCAACCATAATCAAGTAAGGGAGGAAGGATATTAAGAAATATAATTATGATGTTTTAGAAAAAACGAGTTATATTTCTTATAATTAAATAAGTTACTTAATTTCTATAATCTAATCAAATTACTTAAAGAGGTCTTATATTAAGGATACTAGATATTTACATCAAAAGAAAAATGTCTTAATATTGTTAATCAAATAATTCCCAAGAGGTTGGATATATTATGAGAGAGTAGCTACGTGTGACCTGCCAAAGGAGACTATTCATAGTAAAAGAAGATATTTAGAGGGTAAGAAGGAGACTGGTCAATGCATCATATCCTTGATCTGTATCAATGGGAAAGACTTTAGCTTTGGGTGAAACTCTTCGCAGTTTTACTTTTCTTTGCTTTTTATTTTGTACTTTACCAGTTTTGTCAAATTTGTTTGGGCATTGATCGGACTTGGCTGTTGCATATCTTCAATTTCTATGCAGTTATGTAGAATAGGAATATGCCACGTGTTCATTAACTGTTCTGGTTCTCCCTCTCTTGTGATTGGTGTGATTTTTCTTTGTTTGGCAGTTACCAGGTGATTATATTTGACTGGGTACAGGAAATAATCATGCCGTTAAATCTGGGTACCATTTCGTCTCAGAGAGCTTTCACGTGTGTCAGAATGATTAAAGATTTATTCTATATCTTTTAAGGAGAAAAGGATCATATATGAAATTAGATCCTACCAAGCTTATTATAACCAGAGTAAGGCTCACGGCTCAATAATGTTGGATGCTTATACTGCCTTAGTTCTTTAATATAAAACCTCATTAACTGATTTAGAGAGATTAAAAAAGTTACTAAATTATTTTAAGATATTTATATTTATCATTTTTCTCTAAACTAATTTATCTTACTTAATACTCCTCTGATCCTTAATGTAGGACTCAATTCATGAGTTGGTTTTGATCCTAAATATAAGACCCATTTTTTATATTTATCAATTTTCTCTAAATTACCCCTATGAATACTCCCTTAACCATAATCAAGTAAAAGAGGGAGAGGGGTATTAAGAAAGATGATTATGGTGTTTTAGGATAAACGTGTCACTTTTCTTATAATTAACTAACTTACCTAACTTTCTTAATCTAATCAAATTAGTTAAATGGGTCTTATATTAAGGACCGGAGGAGTATATAATCTAATAATACATATAAGTATTTTAGAGAGATCATGTAACATATACTATAATTGAGTAATTTATTAACTTAATCTTCTCAAATTAGTCAACTAGGTCTTATATCAAGAACAATAAGTAATGAACTCGAAAATAGGCCTAGACTTGTGTATGGTTTGAACAAACACACCATGCCAAAACTAAATGAGGAAATTAAACTAAAGTACAATTTTTTTCCCTAAAACTAATATATGTACACACTCATTTTATATACATCTTTTCCTTTTAATATGTATGCATCCTTTCATATCTCATGCATCACACAACTTGTTAATAATTGCAGTTTGGGAATTATTGGATTCACAAGGCTGTTCTTGTAGAAGGCCAATCAAGAACACAGTCTCATTCAAGATTTGTAGCAGACCATCATGGAGTGAAATTGCTTTATCATTGTGCAACTGAGCCTGAAGCTCAGATGAAAACGATTGAGGAGGGTGAGGATCCATATATGTCATTCCTTTGGAAAAAAAAAATGATATTAATCTCTTTTGAGTTAAGCTAATAATATTAAACCTTGCTAACTTATAAAGTTAAACATGAGTCCTTTAAGAAAATTTCAAGCAAAAACACAAGCAAAAAAACACCTAACGAACAAGTTTACCAAAAGAATATTTAGCACTTGGCCAAGTCAATATAGATAGATCTAAGCCAAAAAGTATCATTGGAATTCATTTTACTGTTAAGTTTAATTGATTTTCATTTTTTAAACCTGTTTTTTTTTTTGGGCACAGGTTTTGTTGTTTGCAAGCTATTTCTGTTGAAATGGATTTCATCCAGGATCTTAGTTTTAGTAACCATAATTTTGCAACCAAAAGATGATACTGTGATTTGGCAACCAAAAATGGAATCTCAAGCTAAAGAGCCACACAAGTTCTTGAGGAAATCTATCTTACCAAGTAAAATAAATTTATAATAAATGTGTTACACATCTTGTCTGTCTTGACGAGTTGTTCTTACTTCTTAGTCGACACAACCGTTCCTATATATTCATCCTCTGCATTCAAGTCAGCCAAGCTCTCTTCCACCTTCCTCCCTTATATTACAGACACACAGAAAATAGAAAGTATTCCATGGCTTCCCTTCTTCATCAGCCTGTAGCACCAGAAAATAACTCTAAAGTTGTAGAACTACAAACCAGTCTAGACTTTATTACTACATTTGAGAACACGGGGATCCAGCCAACAGATAGAAGCAAAGGCACTCAGAGGGATGATGAGGCGGTTTTCATGACATGGGAAGACTTGTGGGTGATTGTTGGAAGTGGAAAGAATAAAAAACCAATATTGCAGGGTCTGACTGGGTATGCCAAGCCAGGACAGCTTTTGGCCATAATGGGTCCTTCAGGATGCGGGAAAACCACACTCCTTGATGCTTTGGCAGGTTCCACTTTTTTATGACACATCTCTATATGAACTTCAAAGTAAATAATATGCTGGATGATGCTGTTCTTGTATTGCTTCCAATTTCCAAATGACGTTCAAGCATATTTTGGGCATTTTCAGTTTGGAATTTTCTGTATCTTGATGTTCAGTTCTCCTGTTTAGAGTAGTTTGGTAACTGATGTGAAAACTACAAAACGATCCTTCGCAAAAGAAGGACCATGCTATAGACATCAAGTTTGACATCACATGTTTTTTCCCTCTTGACGCTAAGGATTAAGGGAACTTAAGTGGAAGGAAACTAACTTTCTATCATTTGTTGAGTTGATTAATTGGTTTAAGACTTAAGCAGTTGTAACGCATGCTTTTAACTATTATCGCAGGAAGATTAGATTCAAACATGCAGCAAACAGGGAAGATTCTAATCAATGGAAACAGACAAGCACTAGCATATGGAACATCAGTAAGAAAATTACAAAAGCCATGTCCAAAAGGTTTAACAGTGTCACTAACCTCACTCCCTTCCCATGCAAACACAGGCATATGTCACCCAAGATGATGCTATGCTGTCAACTTTAACAGCCGGGGAAGCTTTATATTACTCATGCCAGCTCCAACTTCCAGATTCTATGTCCATTGAAGAGAAGAAGGAGAGAGCGGACTCTACACTCAGAGAAATGGGTCTACAAGATGCCATCAACACCAGGATTGGAGGGTGGACTTCAAGAGGCCTTAGCAGTGGACAAAAGAGAAGACTTAGCATTTGCATTGAGACTATAACACGCCCGAAACTTCTCTTCCTTGATGAACCAACTAGTGGTCTTGATAGTGCAGCTTCTTATTATGTTATGAGCAGAATTGCCAGTCTAAACATAAGGGATGGCATTGAAAGAACAATTGTAGCATCTATCCATCAGCCTAGCAGTGAAGTTTTTCAACTTTTCCACAATCTCTGCCTTCTGTCTTCTGGTGAAACAGTATATTTTGGCCCTGCATCTGAGGCAAATGAGGTCAGGAGCTAGAATCCTTATTTACATCATTAAATATTTCCAAAAAAGCACAAGAAAAGCTGATTTTAAATTGACTTCCGAAGCTCTGCTTTGATTTATTGTAGTTCTTCGCTTCAAATGGTTTTCCTTGCCCAAGCCTCTACAATCCTTCTGATCATTTCTTAAAGATCATAAACAAGGATTTTGAGCAGGTAAGCTAAGTTTTTTTTTACCCTTGCCTGAATTTACAATGAACCTACAGCACTACAGCACACTCAAGCCTTTTGTTTAATGCTAGAGAAACTTTTAATTTACTTTTATCATTTCCAGGATCCTGAAGAAGGGTTTGGTAAAAGAGTAACCACAGAAGAAGCGATTAATATCCTTGTGGAGTCCTACAAGTCATTTGAAATTCGCCAACAAATTCTGAAGGAAGTGGGAGAAATAAGCGAAAGTGTAAGTTTAGTGTTACATTCATAGCAAAAACCATAACGCAGCAAGGATGCACAATTTTTCAAAATTCAACCATCAACAAGACTGAAATCCAAGAACTACTAACTCCTAAATGAACCACAGGATTCTGATGCATTTGGGAAAAAGAGAACCCATGCTGCACTCGTTACTCAGTGCCTTGTTCTTATAAGAAGATCTTCCCTGCATATGTATCGTGACATAAGCAATTACTGGTTACGTCTTGCTGTGTATGTTGCAATAGCTATAAGTCTGGGTACCATATTCTATAACGTGGGCTCAAGTATTGAATCTATTCAGGTAAGAGAAGTAAAGCAACATTTATGTGTGGCTCTTAATGCACAAAGTTTGCTATTAATATCTTCCAGTAAACTGCAGGCTAGAGGATCGCTGCTCACATTTTTTACTTCAGTCCTTACTTTCATAACCCTTATCGGTGGATTCCCTCCATTTTTAGAGGAAATGAAGGTAAGTTTTGTTCTCATTGTCTAATTTTCAAAAGAAAAACATGTCTTAGTTTCAAAGCATTGCACTTTAAGCAGGTGAGTTAGTCTGCTTTCTAAGAAAGGTGGTATTTTCTCTTAATATTAACCTTAGTTTGACTCTTCAAAAAATAAAAAGAAAATCCTGAAGTACCAAAGTACCCTATAATCAACTGAAGAATAGATTTAATCCAGAGCAAAAGGCAAAGATTCAAATGCCAACAAAAAACAAAAGCAGTACACTTTTGCATTTGAGCTTCTATTACATGACCCTAATTACATTATCCTATAATGTGTTGTACTCACTTTATCACTTCTTCTTGTCGTCAAGTCAGGTCTTTAAACGAGAGAGGTTGAATGGACACTATGGTGTTACTGCTTTTCTGATTGGCAACACATTATCTGCTATTCCATACATGCTACTGATATCTCTGATACCTGGAGGAATAGTTTATTGCCTTTCTGGCCTGCACAAAGGACTGGAGCAATTTTTGTACCTGACGTCTGTGTTGTTTGCCACTGTTATGTCTGTTGAGAGCCTCATGATGGTTGTTGGGAGCTTCTTCCCCAATTTCATAATGGGGATGATCATTGTTGGTGGAATTCAAGGAGTCATGATATTACTTGGTGGTTTCTATAGATTGCCAAACGATCTCCCCAAGCCATTTTGGAGATACCCTTTATATTATGCTTCATTCCACAAGTATGCCTTCCAAGGATTGTTCAAGAATGAGTTTGAAGGTTTAACATTTGCCACTGATCATGATGGAGGCAGCAAAACCACTAGTGGCAGAGAAATTCTGACAAACACGTGGCAAGTGGAAATGGGCTACTCTAAGTGGGTTGATCTTGCAATCCTGCTTGGAATGATTGTTCTATATCGGCTTCTGTTCTTGGCCATCACTAAGACCAAGGAGAATGCAAAGCCTATGGTTGCAGCTATCTGTTGTTCCCCAAGCAAAATCATGGTGACCCGAAGAAATTAGCACAAGAAGACATCCAATGTCACATTTTAAGGTAAAAAAACAATAGGTTGGTCAGAGGTAGCGCATGTGTTTCGGTTTGATTCTTCCTAAATTATGTAAGATATTGTTTGGACATGTCAAATTCCTACTGCAAGGGAGCATACAACCAAGAACTCATCAAGCAGTCACAATTTGTAATTATTGATATGGGCAAATTAATTACAAGTCAAGACAAGTGTGTCAAAGATATCTGACATACTTATATGTCTATGTATAAATACCTTGATCAACATTTTTTTTTTATATATATTTGTCCAAACCCATACGAGAATTTCTTCCATGAAACCCAACCCAGGCCTCATTCTTCAATCAATCGGCACCCAGTGTAGCAGTTGGAAGACATACATTCGAACACCGTTTTTAACATTTCTATTTCCTACTTCCCAAATCGCTACCACTATATGGAGACAATGGATATTTGACATGGACCGCATTTAATTTAAACCTAACTAATAAGCACGTTTTCCAAATTTTAAAAATAAGAAATAATAACATTTAATAAGCGGTATATATGTCCAATTTTTAACTTGACAACCCTTATAAGGTTAGTAGGTTACTTTACCCATCTTTGAAATTTGTTTTTTTGGGAGGAGGGGGGATTTTCATTTCATATAGGCATCTTGAGCCTGTGATACTTATTCATTACGAATAACTAATTTTTTTAATCTTTTCAAATTAGTCAATTAAGTCTTATATTATATTTAATTAAAATAAAATTTGGATTGACGCTTGTAACACACTGCATTACATAAGAAAAGAGGATGATACTTCTAAATATTGTTAATTACCCCCCCAAAACTATTTTTTTCATTGACACTAGTATCCTTTTATTAGAGGCATTGTTGGATATTAAATATGTACATTTTTTTTAGAGCGGATTTAAACCTTAGCATGTTATGTCATAAGAAACTAATTTATTCCGCTAGACTAAAGATTTGTTGGTCTAAATATATATAAATATACATAGACACACAACTAAATCATGGGCTTAGGACAAGGCCCATGGGCTCATTAGGTATTCCAGCAACCAACACATGAATCAACGAATTAATAAGGAAGTCTTTGGATAAAATCAAGATCATGATCTTAAAAGTACTTTTACGATATACGAAGTAAATATGTAGATGAATTTATCTCGATTTGTGAAAATGTACTTTTTAAGGAAGCCAAACACCCCTTAAATGTTTATCAATATATCTAAAATGATAAAATGTTACACTGTTAATAAATCATAAATAATATAATATATCTAAAGTTCCATGTAAATAGTGGGACTCCAATTAAGTTATAATGACCTTATCAATATAATTTGAGTAATCCAATGCTACCATTTTTGTGTGTGCCAGAAATGCTATTGCTACCACTCTAATAGGAGGCAAAATATGTTGATCAAAACGAGGGAGTTTTGGACCATAACCAATTACTTCTTTAATTCTTAATATAAAACCTATTTAACTAATTTGATTAGATTAAGAAAGTTAGATAAGGTAGTTAATTATAAGAAATATGACATGTTTTTCTTAAAATACCAAAATCATTTTTTTTAATATCTCATCTCCCTTTTCTATTTATTATGGTTGAGGGAATATCTATAGAAATAATTTAGAAAAAATTGATAAATATGAGAAGTAGCTCTTATTATTAGGACCAAAATTAATTCAACAATTAGGTTTTATATTAAGAACCGGATGAGTATTGCCTATTAACACGAAGATGTTCAATATTGAAATGATTAGATATTCCCTCTATTATGCTAAACGTTTCTGCCAACAATAATTGACTTAATTAATACCTCTTCCGATTTTAAATATAGGAGTCAATTAGTAGGTTTATTTTGATTTTAAATATAAAATTTTAATTTATCTTGTCTCTCAAGTTTCTAATTTGTTTTTAAAATTATACATATTAAATGCATATGTTAAAGGAGTTTCTATATTAAGAGGTGAGTTTAATGCAAATAATTAAGAAAAGGTATTCTCAAAAACTCAACACACATTTTTCAATGAATAATTAATTTAAATAATTTTTTTAATCTCTGTAAATTAATTTCATACCTCCTATACTAGGGACAGGAGAGTACTCCTTTCACTCCTGAAGATGGAAACTAAGTACTCTTTTAGTTTTATTCATAAGGTACTTCCAACATATTTTACACAGATTAAGAAAAATATTAAATTACATTAATTCTTCATTAAAATATAGTAACTTTTTAACTTTACCCCTATTTAATATATATACTTTTAAAAAAAAACTATCTACACTATAATAAATGAAGAACAATATTATACATTCATGGTAAAAATATAATAAAATGACTTATAAATAGGATAAAAAAAAAAACTTTTCCCTTTACCCTATAAATAGGACCAGAGGAGTAACTAATTTTTAGAGGTTAAAAAATTAATTAAGTTAGTTATGTATAAAAAGTTGTACGTTAATTTTTGAAAAAAAAAATACTTTTTTTAAGTATTTACATTAGAACTATCTCTTAATGAAAATATTAATGAATAGGGATAGCATGAGAAAAAAAATTATATATTTAGAAGATAAGTGAATTGAAATCTTATATTTAGAAGTAAAATAAACCTCCTAATTAACTCTTACATTTAGAATCTCATTATAAAACATGATAGATGCCGAACTTGAATAATCCATATTATAATCTCTCTCTCTCTTCTTTTTTTTTTTTTTTGCTATAATCGTCCATACTATAATTGAATGACCAAAATTTATTGTTATTTTATTTTTATTTTTTTAACCTACAAAGATATGATGTTGAAAGTCAAATAATGAAACCTTATCTAACCCACCTAAACGTTCATAAATTAAAGAAACCCTCTCTCATATTTATACGTCACTCGTAGATATTGTCATAATATACAAATTTTGAAGATTCAGCATTTCTATTTCTAAGAAAAATTAATGACCAATAGATGAATAGAAAAATCGTAACATCATAAAATGAGGCCCAAATTATTATATAATACCAATCTGAAAAATATGCAAGTTAACAACTTAAGAATAAATTATACTCGTAGTTAATTTCATTGCAGCCTAAAGAAGAGAAAATGACACAAAAATAATACTTAAACTTGGAAATGTCAAAATAGTCACCTGAATTTGCAAAATTCCAATTTAGTCACAAGTGAACAATTGGGCATTTACAAATTTACTGAAATGACCATATTGTCCTTTATTTTATTTATTGTTTTTAAAAAACCAAAATCCCCATTAGCCGGCCAGTCACTGGAGGTCCGAAGCTAGCAACGGAGGCTATCACCGGAGCTCCGGTGACTGGCCAACAATTGGTCATCGTAGCTTCGGTGGCCAGAAACAAATTTTTTTAAAATTTTTTTATAATTTCGGTATAACGGTTAACAATTTTTGTAATGTTATTAACAATTTCAGTATAGCAGTTAATAATAGATTTTTCAGACAATTCAACAATAGGTTGCCAGAGCTTTAGCGATTGATAAACCATATTTTTAATATGTTTAAAATGTGCATTTTGGGCTATTTTAGGGAATTGATTAGATAATATTTGCATTATTGCTGAAATAATATGTTAATACACATGGATTGAGAATATGATCAAATATAATATTTTATTAGTGTTTTGAATGAATTTTCAGATTGGAAATTATTTTCTGGATTTTATTTGAATTAATTACGGGGGCAAAATGGGAAAGAGATTTAATTCTGGGACTGAAGAAATGGCAAGATGATTTTGGGCCAGGAACAACAGATATAAGCTCAGGCCCAGCCCAAGTGAAAGAGAAGGGAATTCTTGAATAATGAAGTGCTGCATTTTGAAGGAATCAAAGAAAAAGGAAATTCTGTCAAGGACCGTTAGAAGAGGCTGGGGAAAAGGGAGCTCATCGTCATTTTCACCATAGATTGAGTACCCTAGAAGCACAGCGAGATCTCTCTCAATTCTTGACAGCTTCGTCTGGATTTCACCGTCTCTCTCTCCATCTCATTTTCTCCCTTTGAACTCTCGCCATCACAATCATTCATTTTCATTCCTCTGCATCACTGATTCAATGGCCGACCACCCTATGGAGCTCAGTAGAGTCCCTGTGATGATGAGAGGCTAATCATTGTGATTCTCCTAGAAGTCAAACCGAGGTAGAGTCTTTGCATCTAACAGGGAGTTTCTCTAAGATTCGTTGTTCTGTTTTGCTTTATATACTTGGATTGTATCAGTGTATTCATTCGGATTGTGGCTCCGAGATTGCTATAGCAGTGCTATGGTTTAGAACATTGATTTGAGAACTAAATTTAGCAATTCCATTTGTAATAGTTCTGTTGAACGATTGTATTCTCTGATTAAGACTAAGAGTGATCTTGGTTGCTGAGTCGAGTTGAGTTAGTTTTTGTGATTAATCTAATTTACATTCAAGGTAATGTGCAATTGCAATTGCTAAAGAGAATTTGGTTTTGCTAAGCTATTCTGTTCTACCAAATGAGTAACCTACTAGTAGACTGTTAAAACCTTGTCTCGGTCGAGTGGTTTAAAAGTCTAATTGTAAGAGAATTAAGCAGTGGTTGGGTTCGCACAATGACTTTGGCTGAGGAACTTAATGATCATAATTGGACTAGGAAGGCGAGGCATAGCTTCCAGGGAAAACACTTCATTCGTATTTGATATCCTATCACTCATTTTTCATCATCTCATCCAGATAAATCGGGAATTCATAAAGATCTATTCTGCAATTTTAAACCAAAAGATTAAACTGAATGATTGTCCTTTTGCTTGCAACTTCAATTTGTTAATTGGTGGATTACTTGGGAATTAAGAAATAAAAAGGCTTCTTCGTGAATCGACCTAGGTTAGGCTACTATTCTATATTTTAGCTTAATTTTAGTTTCTTTGAAGAGCCCCTATGGCAAGGCTTTTTTAGTAGTTGGAACCAATTTTTTTTAAAAAAATTTTCAACTTTAGTATAACAGTTAATAACTTTTGTAATGTTATTAACAACTTTAGTATAGCAATTAACAATAGGTTTTTGAATTTATTAACAGCATTACTGAAGCTGTAAAAATGTTATTTTTTAAATTTTCTGGAAAATCTGTTGTTAACTGCTATAATGAAGTTGTTAATAGCGTTACAAAAGTTGTTAACCGTTATACTGAAATTGTAAAAATTTTCAAAAAAATTGTTTCCTGCCACCGGAGCTCCAGCAACCAATTGTTGAATTTCCCAAAAAACCTGTTATTAACTGCTGTACTGAAGTTGTTAATACCGTTACAAAAGTTGTTAAATGTTATACTGAAGTTGTAAAAATTTTCAAAAAATTTGTTTATGACCATTGAAGCTCCGGTGACCAATTGTCGGCTAGTCACTAGAGCTCCGGTGATGGCTATCGCCGCAGGTGCCGAAGCTCCGACGATAGGCCGACAATTGGTCGCTGGAGCTCCGGTGACAGGAAACAATTTGGTTTTTTAAAAATAATAAATAAAATAAAGGGCAATATGATCATTTCAGCAAATTTATAAAATGCCAAATTGTTCACTTGTGACTAAATTGAGATCTTGAAAATTCATGTGACCATTTTGATATTTCTAAGTTCAAGTATAATTTTTGTGTCATTTTCCCCCTAAAAAATTATTGTTCCTTCAGTTTACAGAAACAGGCATTAATTAATTTTATTTTTCGCAAGATAATAACTTAAGAATATATTATAAGTATAACTATATTAAAAAAAATTTTGATCCTTTAAATTTGTCCTTATTTTGTTCAAATGTAAAAAAAAATTACTTAATTATCGTGCCCTTGTATAAGATACTCATGTTCTGGTTTTATCTCTTGTTAAAATCCCTCATTCCAACCAAAATATTATTCAAGTCAAAAAAACGAAAATATTATTAATCATTTAATCCTCCAATCTTAAAATGTAAAAACCAAATAATTAAATTATAAAAATTAGTTATTTATAAAAACAATATGGTAATTTTTTGAAATATTTATTTAATAATTTGCATTAGTAACTGCCCATAAAACAACTCTATAAGAAGTGCAACTAATAAGAATAATGTGGAGAACAAATGAACAATTAGAAATTTAAAAGACAAATTCAATTGAAACCTTACATTTAAGAACAAAGCAAACAAGTCCCATTATTTTTATACTTAGGATCGAAAGAATATTATTTATCCAAAATATTCCATTTGAATTACTGCTCTTGGTTTTTAATATAAGATTTAGTTGATTAATTGGGAGAGATTAAGAAATTGATTAAATTACTTGAAAATAACATATGCTGTATGATCTCTCTAAAATACTTATATGTATTATTAGATTATATATCAATTTATAAGTGAATCAAATTAATTTAAAGAAAAACGATAAATATAAATACTTTAAAACAATTTAGTAACTTTTTTAATCTTCATAAACTACTACTAATCATCTGGGCTTTATATTAAGTATTAGTATTTCAAATCTAAGATACTCTGCTTGACTCCATGTGGCATGTAGATGAATACAGACAAACATCGTATGAGGAAACCCTTTTTGATTCTACGAGACACTGAGTATTCTCAGAACATATATCTGCAAGTTTTTTAAAAGGGAGAATCAATCCACTCTGAGAATTCAACAGTAGAAAATCTTTGAGTGATGATCCTAAGTTAAATGTTTCGTTTACTGGAAAACAAAGAATTGGCACAAAAAGACATAAGAGGGATCTGCATGGGGTCTATCATTTAGGAGCATTTGGATGGGAAGATTGTTGAGAAGTCCACATCATATTTTTGTTGTGTTGGTCTTGCACCAACACTGTGTCCAAAAGTATTTGAGCATCATTATTGGACTCATCCATTGCTGTTCTTTCAAGTTGTAGCCTCATGCATGCATCCTATCACACACACACGCATGCTTGAGTACTAAAATTACAATAACTGAACCCTGTCTAACACAATCCTGTTCAATGATTTGAGTCATCTTACTCTGTGAAGTTTAAAGTATGAATGAAACATAGAGGAGGAAATATATGACAATGAAATCTTTAGAGTTATACTATTGGAATATTTGTATTCCATTGGTGTTTGGGAGAGTCTTGAGGTAGGTCATCTGCTAAAGTTGTGGAAGCAACTTCTTGCAAAACAACAACAATAATAGCCACTAGTTGTGGTTGGATCTAACGAAGTGGGCTAATCTCGTATATTGTGACTAATTAAGGTTCAATTCTCAAGAAAAAATATTCAAATTTAGTGATTGATAGTGTTTCAAATAAGATTACCTCAAATATGAGGATATCTAAATATAGCAACAACAACAAAAAACAATAGCTTTACTCCACTCGATGAGATTGACTACATAAACCTTACATGACGCTTTTGTGTCCTATCAATCCAGAGTGAATATGACAATCTTGCAAGAGTGCATGGTAAAACCGTGGACAATAATGAGGTGTTTACAAAATGTCAAATATTTTCATTCTCATCTCAATGTAAAATCACTTTTTTTTTCTCAATACAATTGTCAGTTTCAGGAGTCATGTTTTAAATGGAAAAATCATAAAAAAGACCGTCAAAATAGAAAAATTACAAATAAGGACCTGTTACAATATTAATGTGTTTTGACAATAACAGTATATGTTTTAACAACTTTTGTGAACGGTCCTTGTGTGCAATTTTTTAATTTTGCTGGTCATTTTTTGCAATTTTCCCTACTTTAAATGGCCAAACCTTGTGCATCATAGTGATGCTCCATTAGGTGGCCATGCAAGGATGTAGACTTCAAATTTCATAGTTAAGCCAGATAAAGCCATGACTTTCAATTAGTAATCTCTCATGTCCTTTTTATAAGTTCCAATCTTTTTTTTTTTTAATGTGCCTGGTTCTTTCTATAAACTATGCTACATAGATGTCTCAACATTTAATGCATTTTATAATAAGAACCGGAGGGAGTGGCCACCAAATACTAGATATTTATATCAAAAGAAAGATGTCTTAATATTGTTGATCAGATAATTCCCAAGAGGCTGAATGTATCATGAGAGAGTAGCCACGTGTGACATACCAAAAGAGACTCTTAATAGTACAAGAAGATTTTTTAGACGGTAAGAAGGAGAGTGGTCAATGCATCATATCCTCGATCTGTATCAATGGGAAAGACTTCAGTTTTGAGTGAAACTCTTCGTAGTTGTGCTTTTATTTTGTACTTTACCAACGTTGTCAAAATTTGGTTTAGGCATCTGTTGGGACTTGGTTGTTGCATATCTTCAATTTCGTTATGCAGTTACGTGGAATAGGAACATGTTACGTGTTCAGTAACTGTTCCGGTTTTCCCCCTCTTGTGATTGGTGTGATTTTTCCTTGTTTGGCAGTTACCAGGTGGCTATATCTGACTGGGAACAAGGAATAATCATGCCGTCAAATCTGGGTACCATTTCATCTCACGGAGCTTTCATATATATCAGAATGATTAAAGATTTATTCAAGGAGAAAAAAAAAATCATATATGAAATTAGATCCCAACAAGCTTATTAGAACTAGAGTAAGGCTCAGGGCTCAATAATGTTGTATGCTTATCAGCTTATACCACCTCAAGTGTTTAATATAAGAACCAGTTAACTAATTTGGAAAAATTAAGGAAGCTGCTAAATTACTTTAAAATATTTATATTCATTGTTCTTTTCCAAACTACTTTGTCTCACTTATAAATTGATATATAATCTAATTTTACAAAGATCATGTAATATATGCTATATTTAAGTAATTTATTAACTTCTTTAATCTTCCCAAATTAGTCAATTGGGTCTTATATTAAAAACCGAAAGTAGTATTTATTTATCTATCAACAAAATGTTTCCATATCACTTTAAAGATCATTAGTCACTCCAAAGCAAACTATTAGAATTGGGATTTTTTTGCTTGGACATCACACCATTCCAAGCCAGCCTTATAAAGCTATTCTCAACTTGAAAATAGACCTAGACGCGTGTATGGTTTGAGCAAAGCCACCACGCCAAACCAAAAAGTATAATTGTTTTTTTAAAAAAACTAAACACACACACACACACATATATACTCATTTTATATACATATTTTCTCTTTAATATGTGTACATCCTTTCCTATCTCATGCATCATACAACTTGTAGTTAATAATGCAGTTTGGGAATTATTGGAATCACAAGGCTATTCTTGTACAAGGCGAATCATGAACACTGTCTCATTCAATATATGTGATAGGCCATTATGGAGTGAACTTGCTTTATCATTATGCATCTCAGCTTTGTCCGACATCAGATCCTGAAGCTCAGATGAAAACGATTGAGGAGGGTGAGGGTCCATATATATCATTCCTTCTTTTAAAAAAATGATATTCATCTCTTTAAAGTTAAGCTAATAATATTAAATCTTACTAACTTACAAAATTAAAAATAAATCTTTTAAGAAAATTCCAAGCAAGAACACAAGCAACAAAACAACTAACGCACAAGTTTACCAAAAGAAGTTTTAGCACATGACCCAAGTCAATATAGATAGATCTAAGCTAAACAGTATCATTGGATTTCCTTTTACTGTTAATTTTAATTGATTTTCATTTTTTAAACTTGTTTTTGGGCACAGGTTATGTTGTTTGCAAGATATTTCTGTCGAAATGGATTTCATCCAGGATCTTGGTTCTGGTAATCATAATTTTGCAATAAAAAGATGATAATATGATTTAGCAACCAAAAATGGAATCTCAAAATAAAGAGACACAAGTTCTCGAGGAAATCTATCTTATCAAGTAAAATAAATTTATAATAGATGTGTTACACATCTTGTCCATCTTGACTAGTTGTTCTTAGTCGACACAACTGTTCCTATAAATTCATCCTCTGCAATTCAAGTCGGCCAAGTTCTCTTCCACCTTCCTCCCTTATTACAGACACAGAAAATAGAAAATATTCCATGGCTTCCCTTCTTCATCCACCTGTAGCACCAGATAATAACTCTAAAGTTGTAGAACTACAAACCAGTCTAGAGTTTATTACTACATTTGAGAACATGGTGATCCAGCCAACAGATAGAAGCAAAGGTACTCAGAGAGAGGATGAGGGGGTTTTCACGACATGGGAAGACTTGTGGGTGACTGTTGGAAGCGGAAAGAGTAAAAAACCAATATTGCAGGGTTTGACTGGGTATGCCAAGCCAGGACAGCTTTTGGCCGTAATGGGTCCTTCAGGATGCGGCAAAACCACACTCCTTGATGCTTTAGCAGGTTCCACTTTTTTATGACACACCCCTATATGAATCTCAAAGTAAATAATATACTGGATGATACTGTTTTTGTATTGCTTCCAATTTCCAAATGACGTTCAAGCATATTTTGGGCATTTTCAGTTTGGAATTATCTTTATCTTGATGTTCAGTTCTCCTGTTTAGAGTAGTTTGATAACTGATGTGAAAACTACAAAATAATCCTGCGCAAAAGATGGACCATGCTATAGAGATCAAGTTTGAAGGTGTTTATTAGTATCACATGTTTTTTCTCTTGATACTAAGGATTAAAGGGAAATTAAGTGTAAGGGAACTAACTTTCTGTCATTTGCTGAGTTGATTAATTGGCTTAAGACTTGAGCAGTTGTAATGCATGCTATTAACCATTATCGCAGGAAGATTAGATTCAAACATGCAGCAAACAGGGAAGATTCTAATCAATGGACACAGACAAGCACTCGCATATGGAACATCAGTAAGAAAATTCCGAAAGCTATGTCCAAAAGATTTAAGTAAGAGTGTCACTGACCTCACTCCCTCCCCCTGCAAAAACAGGCATATGTCACCCAAGATGATGCTATGTTGTCAACTTTAACAGCCGGGGAAGCTTTATATTATTCATGCCAGCTCCAACTTCCAGATTCAATGTCCATGGAAGAGAAGAAGGAGAGAGCGGATTCTACACTCAGAGAAATGGGTCTCCAAGATGCCATCAACACAAGGATTGGAAGGGGGACTTCAAAAGGCCTTAGCAGTGGACAAAAGAGAAGACTTAGCATTTGCATTGAGATTATAACACGCCCGAAACTTCTATTCCTCGATGAACCAACTAGTGGTCTTGATAGTGCAGCTTCTTATTATGTTATGAGCAGAATTGCCAGTCTAAACATAAGGGATGGCATTGAAAGAACAATTGTAGCATCTATCCATCAGCCTAGCAGTGAAGTTTTTCAACTTTTCCATAATCTCTGCCTTCTGTCTTCTGGTGAAACAGTATATTTTGGCCCTGCATCTGAGGCAAATGAGGTCAGAAACTAGAATCCTTATTTACATCATTAAATATTTCCAAATAAGCACGAGAAAAGCTAATTTTGAGTTAACTTCCGAAACTCTGCTTGATTTATTGTAGTTTTTTGCTTCAAATGGTTTTGCTTGCCCAAGTCTCTACAACCCTTCTGATCATTTCTTAAAGATCATAAACAAGGATTTTGAGCAGGTAAGCTTTCTACCCTTGCTTGAATTTAAAATGAAACCTACAGCAGCACACTCAAACCTTTTGGATGATGCTAGAGAAAACATGAATTTACTTTTATCATTTCCAGGATCCTGAAGAAGGGTTTGGTAAAAGAGTAACCACAGAAGAAGCGATTAATATCCTTGTGGAGTCCTACAAGTCATTTGAAATTCGCAAACAAATTCTGAAGGAAGTGGAAGACATAAGCAAAAGTGTAAGTTTAGTGTTACATTCATAGCAAAAACCATCAAACAGCAAGGATGCATAATTTTTCAAAATTCAACCACCAACAAGACTGAAATCCAAGAAATACTAACTTCTAAATAAACTACAGGATTCTGATGCAATTGGGAAAAAGAGAACCCACGCTGCATTCGTTACCCAGTGCCTTGTTCTTATAAGAAGATCTTCCCTGCATATGTACCGGGACATAAGCAATTACTGGTTACGTCTTGCTGTGTATGTTGCAATAGCTACAAGTCTGGGTACTATATTCTATAACGTGGGCTCAAGTATTGAATCTATTCAGGTTAGAGAAGTAAAGCAATACATTTATGTGTGGCTCTTAATGCACAAAGTTTGCTATTAATATCTTCCAATGCACTCCAGGCTAGAGGATCGCTGCTCACATTTTTTATTTCAGTCCTCACTTTCATAACCCTTATCGGTGGATTCCCTCCATTTTTAGAGGAAATGAAGGTAATGTTTTGTTCTCATTAATCTTTGAAAGAAAAAATTAAACGTGTCTTAGTTTCAAAGCATTGCACTTTAACCAGATGAGTTAGTCTGCTTTCTAAGAAAGGTGGTATTTTCTCTTAATATTAACCTCAGTTTGACTCATCAAAAAAAAAAAAAAAAATCCTAAAGTATCCTATAATCAACTGAAGAAGAGATTTAATCCAGAGCAAAAGGCAAAGATCCAAATGCCAACAAAAACCAAAAGCAGTACACTTTTGCATTTGAGCTTCTATTACATGACCGTAAATACATTATCCTATAAGTGTTGTACTCACTTTATCACTTCTTCTCGTCGTCGTGTCAGGTATTTAAACGAGAGAGGTTGGACGGACACTATGGTGTTACTGGTTTTCTGATTGGCAACACATTATCTGCTATTCCATACATGCTACTGATATCTCTGATACCTGGAGGAATAGTTTATTGCCTTTCTGGCCTGCACAAAGGACTTGAACACTTTTTGTACCTGACTTCTGTGTTGTTTGCCACTGTTATGTCTGTTGAGAGCCTCATGATGGTTGTTGGGAGCTTCTTATCCAATTTCATAATGGGGATGATCATTGTTGGTGGAGTTCAAGGAGTCATGATATTACTTGGTGGTTTCTATAGACTGCCAAACAAACTCCCCAAACCATTTTGGAGATACCCTTTATATTATGTTTCATTCCACAAGTATGCCGTCCAAGGGTTGTTCAAGAATGAATTTGAAGGTTTAACATTTGCCAATGATCATGATGGAGACAGCAAAACCACTACTGGCAGGGAAATTCTGACAAACACATGGCAAGTGGAAATGGGCTACTCTAAGTGGGTTGATCTTGCAATCCTGCTTGGAATGATTGTTCTATATCGGCTTCTATTCCTGGCCATCACTAAGACCAAGGAGAATGCAAAGCCTATGGTTGCAGCTATTGGTTGTCCCCCAAGCAAAATCATGGTGACCCGCAGAGATTAGCAATTAGACACCCAATGTCACATTTTAAGGTAAAAAACAATAGGTTGGTCAGGGGTAGCGCGTGTGTTAGTGTTATTTTCTTCCTAAATTATCTAAGATATTGTTTGGACATGTCAAATTCCAACTGCAAGGGAGCAAACAACCAAGAAATTCTCAAGCAGTCACAATTTGTAAATATCTATGGGGAAAGTTAACTATAAGTCAACATTAGTGTGTCAAAAACTTCTGATATACTTATATGTCTATATATAAATACCTTGATCAACATTTTGTTTTATATATATTCTCCAAACCTGTATGAGAATTTCTTCCATAAAACCCACCCCAGCCGGCATTCTCCAATCAATCAGCACTCAGTGTAGCAGTTAGAAGACATACATTCAAACACCGTTATTAACATTTCGATTTCCTACTTCCCAAATCGCAACCATTGCCTATAACTTGATAAAACCCGCAGTTACTGTCAAGGAGTTGGACAAAACACAACTTCATAACTATTTGCAAATTACAAATAACAAATGACGATAGCCAATGAGAATACAATATAGCGAATTTATAACAATCTCATCATTAATGCATTATTTATTCTTTTACTAGCAACACAACAACTTTTAGAAGAAGACAAGATCATGAAGCGGAACTCACACTTGAGGGAACGGCATGGAATGGCCAACTCAAATGCTGCATTCCGTTGTCTGGGTAACGAGCTGTTGGGTTCTACCCTTAAACTAGGGGCAAGGAAGAAGGAACCAGAACTGCCAGTGAAGAATGTCATCAAATTATGCCTGATACTTCAATTCTTTATTTCCGTTTTTACATAATATTATGATTATGATATGATAAACAGTCTTCAAACTAATTAAACTAATCAGAAAATTAATTAAAATTCATACAAAATTATATATAGCTGGACGCAAATTGGATACATTGACCTTATGTGCTTTTCCTTTTCCTTCACTTTCGCATGGCCGGTTACGGTCAGATGCAGATGGCAATCAAGGCACCAAGACGCCGAACACGCGCGGCGCAGAACCTCTCCATTGAAACTCCTCTCCACTTACCCTCCATTTAATTAAATCGCAGCGTTTAGGATGAAAAACAGACAGGGCAATTTTCTCTTTTCAATCTAGAGTCGTGCGTTGCAAATTAATTTCAATCTCCCCGTATTTTTCCAGGTGAGCGGGAAATTCATAGTTTTGCCTCCGAAAACCTTCGCAGGTCGTACGTGGGAAGAAATTGTCGAAGGAAGAAGGGCGTTTGCTGGTTCTCACTTGTATTCGTTGGCTGCTTTCTTCACTGGGCATATACCTCTGTTTTATACGTCGCACTTTAAACAAGTGCACCTTTAGGAAAGTGAATAAATATGATGCAGAACATGCTGGAATCTACTTTATAAACACTTCAAATACAAATAACAAAGCTTGCTATAGAATTGTACATTATATAATGATTCATGCCCCAAACCAACAAAGGCAAGTTGATCACCAAAAACCAAAGCTCATGCTGGATTTTAACCAGGTTTGTAGTCTTTATCTGGTTGTCGATGTTTCTAGAAGAGTCATGAAAAAATGGTAGAAGGAAAAATCCTCACCTCAATCACTTTCCGAAATCTCTATTTGAACGAACTCTGATGTTATCCTGAATAATTCAACCATCTGGTGCCTTATCATGCTGTGGTAGATTCTCTTATGACTTTGTTATTGTGAAGATTTAGGCGCTCAACTTCTGCTCAATTGTGCTTGCTGAGGCGACCGCGGGCGACAACAAGAGGACGGTGATAGAGAATCCGGAGGTTCAGCGCCGCGCCGAACCGCACTAAATGCCTGGCAGCACAACTGCACCGGCCTAAGGGGTGTTTGGCACCCTAAAAATGTTTTTCCGAAACATTTTTTTTATAAATCAAGATAAATTTCTTCATATTTTTATTTTATATATCATAAAAATATTTTTAAAGGGTTACTTCTAATAAAATAACACACTCTTCAAATTTAACGGCTGATACTATCCACGTGTTTAAATTTAAATATTATGTAAATCCAATAATGTCCCATAATTTCTAGGGAGTATATTTTTTATTTAGAAATCATTTTTAATATGTTTCACAATATCTAATTTATAAATATTACGAATAATCACCTAAGCTTTCAAAATTAATGCAAATAAAATGTCAAAATATTGTTCCAACTTTCAAAACTAATACAAATCAAACATTAAATACTAATGATGTATAAAAAGAAAGCTTAAACACTAATAACTTGTTGTCAAAACTAGGAGGAAAAAAAAAAGAACTAAACAAAACAGACAAATCAAAACATAAAAACAAATCAGTTAAAAATTAGCAATATCAACGTGATTATCATTTTCATATTGTTTTTACGTTATGTGCACTCTAGGCTTTGTCTCTGCTCCTACTGCTTACAATCTTTTGGCTTTTATTCATGACTTTGATATTAACCCATTTTTGAAGTTATATTCATATATATGTGAACATATTATTATATATACACGTGTAAAAAAACAGATGTAGCGTACTGTGCTATTTAGTTTAGACTCGTGAACATGGCAGTGTACGCGCGATTCTTTTTTTGGGAGGTCATAGAGCATAAAAAGCGCAATAAAAAACATGACTCAAAATATTTAAGTGAGTTCCCACGTAAAGCCAAGCTCAAACATCTGATCAAAGGCATGCTCTTAGGTACATATGTGATTTATTTTTCAATTTATAAATTTATCAAATAAATTGGTTTGCTTTGTTTAGAGCTTTCACTTAAAAAAGAAATCATATTTTAATAACTTTTTAGGTTTTCAACGACCTGTGTTATACGACACCTGTTTTTTTTTTTTTTGGGACTTCAACACAGACATTGAAAATTCTTTATCTTGCGAATGAGTTTTTGAACAATTGCAATGAGCATGAAAGGTCATCTGCTCGAAAATCAATTACTTGATAACGATTATGGAGTATGCTGCCTTGTGATGGGACAAGATGGATTCATTGTTTTTCCACTTTTCCCCACTCAAAGTCATGGGTCTTGAGGGTACTATCAAAGATCAGTATAATAATCACCGCGCACTTGGATTAACTGGTTAGGAGGTTGTTCCAGCTTAACTAAAGGTCACGGGTTCGATTCTTTGGACACACAACAGTGCAGGTGGTAGGGTAGCCGCCCATTTGGGTCCTTCAACTCCCAATTCGGATTAGTCTGGTTTGTAATTAAATAGACTCAGATGGGTTGTCCGTTCCTGAGAGGTTGGCCAGGATACCGAGTAAAGAAATTCAAAAAAAAAAAAGGAAAAAAGATTGGTATAATAAGTTTGTTTGTGACCTTGTGAGTTGTATCAAAGTCATGGATGCATTGTTTTTTCAGTCTTTCCCATTTATGTTTTCATTATTATTGTTATTATTTAAATTTAAAGTAAAGCATGTAACTGGTTTTGTAGCCAAGTTTTTTTTCCCCCCTCTAAATTGAGAGGCTCGCACAAGAAATAATAATAATTAATGATTAGTGAGTAATAATGATATTAACAAAGCTCAGTATAATTGGTAGATGACTGGATCTCTCAAACACAAAAAAAGAACAATAATGATAAATTACTTCAAAAATTTATCAAGTCTTGATTATAAAAAAAATAAGTGGGTTTAAATGAATTGGCTGGCCTTTTTTTTTTTGCTTTTGCTGTGATAATGGGCTGGCTCTTTATTACAAATTGATCCTTTTACTCTTGAGCAACCCCTAAAATACGATATTATCTTCCAATTAAAAGGTGTGAACGGCCTGTCTACGTGGGAATTAGCACCGGTCCTTCAAGGTTAGCGGGTTTAAAAAGGTTGGCTTTTCAGGACTGAAATTTTAAAAATACTCCAATTTGCTAGGCCTGACCCTTAAGCTACAGGGTTCAGGGCCGACCCGCGGGCTTTTGGTCCGTTTAAGAAAAAAATGCTATTTTTTATATTTCTCATATTTTTTTATAAAAAATAAAAATAAACCAATGAAATTGTTAATAAAAGACATAAATATGAATAAAATTAAGTCACAAATACAAAATATCATCATATATAAATATCTATCAACATCTAAGAACATTTAAAACATTCATTAACAAGCTAACAACATACAAAAGTTTTATCTCTAATGCAATTTTGCATAAATAAACACTATCATTAATCTTTTGAAACTTCTTCATGACTATAATCAATTACTCTTCTTCATAAATATAATTTTCTTTCGTAACAAAAATATCAAGTTTTTCTTCTTTATAAGAATTTTATTTTTAAATTTTGCAATCTAACTATTATTTTACTTTAATGTGCGAAATATTATTGTTGAAACTCATGAATTTCTAATTCAAATTATAGAATCACAAGTTATATAAGTATAAAAATACTCTATTATCAAATATATATATATAATTTAAAAATATCAACACATATAATATAAATCAAATCATTATTAAAGTCCAAATTAACCCATTTTTTAAAAATTTAATTAGATAAATTATTGTCTAAAACTAAATAAGTCAAATCATTTTGTAAAATTTAATTTTAAAATGATAATAATAACTAAATATTTGAAATATTATTAACAATATAAAAAATTAATAATATTAGAATTATATAAAAAAATTTAAAAAAATATAAAATAGCCTAAACGGGCCGGCCCTCGGCCCTCGGCCCTCCAAGACCGGTCCTTTTAAGCCCTCGACTCTCCATGGCTTATTTTCCATTTGAGGGAAAAAATTTCAAACCCGGCCATCATAATTTCAAGACCTAAATGGACTGGCCCGACGTCCTCGACCTGTTTTTCTAACTCTACTATCCATTTTATTGGCTTTTAATATTAACTCTTGTGATAATTATAAGATCTTATTTATAATCTATAAATAAGGTCTTATAATTAGAAGCGGAGGTAGTATATTATTTGTTTCAAAAGAGAAACCAAATTAAAATTAAATAAAATTTAAGAAATAAAACTAAAACTTTAACATGAGATTTTTATTTTTGTGACAGCGTGAGTTTTTTTTATTATGCGTTAAACCTCGTTTTTGCCCAAATAAAAAGTCTGTTGAGCACGGAACCAGAAGGGGGAAAAACACAGCCAGGGGAGGGTCAGAAGGGACTCGCCGCTTCTGAGGCAGGCGCTGGTGGTTCTCTGTGACGGAGGAGACATGGAAAATGACGACGTCGACATGCAAAGCGCCGAGAACAATGAAGCAGTAATGCTTCCTTCTCATCTAGTTTATTTCTTTGACTAAAACCTCGGTTTT